GTGCAATGTGGGAGTGAAGTCTGATACACCCACTCCTACTAAGTAAGCTCACCAAGAATTCATAGTATAGTTCATGTTTCATTCATTATCTTTATTACATAGGCAAAAGTTTCCATAACCGACATGGACCATGTGAGCTACATGGAATCTAGTGTCGTGTAACCCCACACCGAAAGAAGTTGTCCTACTTGCTTTAGGTAGAACTAACTATATAGCTATAAGGTGGATCCATTAGCTAAAGTCCTATGTTGGCACATAGTTACGGGATAGGGAGATTGCATCTAGAAACCCGACCTATTGCATTGGCATAGGAGTTTCCATCTCATGAGTTCACTTAGATGACCCAACCTATTGCATTGGCGGAAGGGCCTTTACCTCATTGTCCATATCAACTCGGTGCTTAGCATTACTTCCCAAAATATACAAAATTAGTCTTAAATTGCATTTACATGTGTGAAGGAGTGTTCAAACCTTAATTCAATACAATTTATCATAAAATCTCATAGATTCATTAAACATGAGAATGAACTTTCAACTTTAGAATCAACATTAACATGTGAGTAGCACTTTCACATTACATTCATACTGTTATCATGAGAAATAGCCTTTCAATCAAACAACAATGTTATGACCATCCTAGACAAGTCATACATGAATATGTGTATAGGGTAAGGGGAGAATTTACCTTTCCATAATACCTCAATTTACACAATGGTTATAAGATATGTACCTTTCAAATGAATTATAAGTTCACATACAACTTCCATCATTCATGGACAAACCTTCACAATTTACCCTTTTCAAGGGTAATGAACCAAGTCTCACAACCATAAATAAAAATACTACTTTAAGCATGAATAAACAAGATTCAATGACAAGGTTAACATAGACACAATTCATAATCTTTATCTTACATCAGCAAATCCATCATAATTCATGAAATTGGGGTCATGGGGTAGCACATGGGTTCATGGGAAAAATATACAAGAAAAAATCACCATTAAACATCAAAGCATCCATAATATAATGCAAATAACATAATTAAATCATTTTTAAGATAACCCATGGCTAGAATAGAAACCCTAGTTTTTTAACATTATACCAATTTCGAAATTAGAGTTTGAAGGGCTTCATGGATAAAAGTATTCCATGAATCAAGGTCCCCATAGCTTAATTGAAGCTTTGCCCATGATTTGGAGTTGAGAGGATTAATTATTTATCCCTAACCTTCATGTTCTTGGTGTTCTTTAATAGAGGAACTCGTAGAGAGAGAAATATTGGAGAGAAGAGGGATTTGGGAAATATTTGGGTGTTTGAGTTTATGACTTTAAAATGGGTGAATTTGGCTTTAACACAATATATAAACCACCCCCTAAAATATCCAAAACACCCCCACATTAATTGGACTAAAATAGTAATTGACCTAAGTGACCTTTACTAAATTAACCCGTCCAGTTGCAACGACTATCTTCACGAGCTGTGGTGAGGACCATGACTCCTGGTCCTTCCCGTGAAGATTAGGACAATGGCTAGGGTTTGATGGCATTTGGCATTTGAGCCTAAGTCACCTCCACGGACCCCTTCATGGCTTGTGAAGTGGACCACGGCACGTGGTAATGCCCATGGAATTGAGGCAGTGGCTTTGCCATTTGGGGCCAATTGGCCATTTGCCTAAGGCAACTTCACGAGAGCCTCCCTTGGTGGTGGTCAAGACTACGGACCGTGAAGGTTTGGCCCCTTGTCCATGGTACTTGCCTCATGGCCTTGACTTCTATGACTCATATTTAAGACGTTCATCCTTACGTTTAGGGTCTAGTTCAACCTATCATTTTCCTGAGTGTTACATTATCTCCCTCTTAAAAACATTCATCCTCGAATGGTGATCTAGACACCTTACCACAGAAAAGACTCAACCGAAACCTCTGCATAGGAAAGATTATCATCAACTCCCAAACCTTCTAAAGGAAGGATCGACACCAGATCAACAATGAACTTCTTAAGCATAGAAACATGAAACATCGGGTGAACCCAACTCATTTAGCAAGTCCAGTTCATATGCAACTTTCCCAACGGGTTTCAAGAATTGATATGGGACCACATACCGGGGACTAAGTTTCCCCTTCTTGCCAAACCTCATCTTACCTTCAATAGGTGATATTTTCGAGTAGACCCAATCACCAACCTCAAATTCAAGATCCCTTCTTCTATTGTCGACATAGGACTTTTGCCGACTTTGGTCCGTCTTCAACCTATCTGTAATGAGTCAAACTTTTTCAATGGCATCATAGACTAGTGTGGAACCAATGAGAGCAAACTCACCTAATTCAAACCAACCCACCGGTGATCTACACTTTCTACCACAGAGTGCTTCAAACGGAGCCATGGCAATGCTAGAGTGGTAACTATTGTTGTAGGCAAATTCTATCAAAAGAAGATGATCATCCCAATTACCCTTGAAATCAATAACACACGCCCTCAACATGTCCTCTATGGTTTGAAAGGTGCGTTCGGCTTCACCATCCGTTTGAGGGTGGAAAGTGGTATTAAGTTTAACATTGGTACCAAGCCCTTGTTGAAATGCATTCCAAAAATGTGAAGTAGATTGAGCACCTCTATCCGATATAATAGACAAAGAAACCCTATGCAACTTCAGTACCTCCTTGATGTACAACTTAGCATAGTCTTCTGCCGAGAAAGTTACCTTAACGGGGAAGAAATGGGCTGATTTAGTCATCCTATCAACGATGACCCAAACAGAATCATGTTGCCTCCAAGTAAGAGGCAAACCCACAAAAAAATCCATATTCACCTCCTCCCACTTCCAAGTGGAAATATTTATATCTTGGAGCAAACCTCCCGATTTCAAGTGTTCGACCTTGACTTGTAGGAAATTCGGACATTTGGCAACAAAATCCGCTATATCCTTCTTCATACCATTCCACAATAGGCATCCTGTAGGTCACGATACATCTTGGGGTCTCCCGGACGTATAGGATACCGCGAACCATGAGCCTCTTCTAGGATTTTCTCCCTCAAACCATTAACATCTGGAACACAAAACTTACCTTGGTACTTAAGCACCCCATCTCCCCCTTGGGAGAAAACCTCTACGGACTTATTGAGAACCGATTCTTTCAATTCCATTAAAATAGGATCAAGGTGTTGTTTAGACTTCACATCAATTACAATGGATTATTCGGAACTATGATGAACCACAACTCCACCCTTGGTGGAATCCACTGGTTAGACACCTAACCGGGCCAACCTATGCACATCACGAACCAATTCCTTCTTCTCATCTTCTACATGAGCCACACTACCCATGGAAAATATACTTAGGGCATCCGCAACAATATTAGCTTCTCCGGGGTGGTATAGGATGCTCATTTCATAATTCTTAAAAAGCTCTAACCACCTATTTTGGAGATTCAAATATCTTTGGCTAAACACATATTGAAGACTCTTGTTGTCAGTAAACACATTAACATGGACTCCATAGAGATAGTGTCTGCATATTTTCAAAGCAAATACAACTGCCACTAGTTCAAGGTCATGAGTCGGGTAGTTCTTCTCATGAACCTTGAGTTGCCTTGAAGCATAGGCGATTACTTTACCATGTTGCATAAGGATACATCCCAAGCCCATTCGAGAAGCGTCACAATATACAAAAAACCCATTGATACTCTCTGGTAAAGTCAACACCGAAGCGGAGGTAAGCCTATCTTTCAAATCTTGGAAGATTTTCTCACAAGCCTCCGAATGGTCGTCAATGGAGAAGAGATGCAGGAGAAGCCCTCAACAAATCTCTAACCGGCCAAACCCAAAAAGTTTCGAATATCGGTAGGGGATAAAGGTCTAGGATAATTATTGACCCCATCCGTCTTCTTAAGATCTACCTCGATACCCTTACCCAACACAATATGGCCATGAAAAGCAACCGACCTTAGCCAAAACTCACACTTACTAAATTTAGCATATAATTGGTGGACTTTAAGGACTTGCAATACTATCCTCAAATGCTTCATATGATAACCTCACTCCTGTAATAGATCAAAATGTCGTCAATAAAGACCATCACAAACGAATTAAGATATTGCCTAAATAACCTATTCATTAGGTCCATGAATTCCGCCGGGGTATTTGCTAGACCAAAAGACATAACTAGGAATTCATAATGACCATATCTTGTATGAAAAGACATCTTAGGAATGTCAACCTCTCTCACCTTAAGTTGGTGATAGCCCGACCTTAAGTCAATCTGTGAAAAGTAACTCGCCCGTTGGAGTTGATCAAACAAATCGTCAATTCTAGGGAAAGGATACTTATTCTTTATAGTGACCTTATTTAATTGCGGTAGTCAATACAAATCCTTAGGGACCCATCTTTCATCTTCACAAAAAAAACTGGGGCACCCTATGGAGATATTCTTGGTTGAATAAAACCCTTATCTAGCAAATCATTGAGTTATGCCTTCAATTCTTTTAATTCGGTCGGAGCCATTTGGTAAGGAGGATCAATATGGGTTGAGTATCCGACAAAAGATCAATGTCGAAGTCTATTTCCCGTTCGGGAGGAATTTCGGGTAAGTCATTCGGAAAGACTTCCGTAAACTCCCTCAGTACGAGGACCGACTCTAAAGACGAAGTCTCGGACTCAATGTCCATAACCCTAACAATATGATAGACACACCCCTTAGAAATCATTTTGCTAGCTTTTAGACTTGAAATAAACCGACCTTTAGGGATTGAATTCCCTCCCTTCCATTCTAAAATGGGATCATTTGGAAATTGAAACTTTACTACCCGATTTCTATAATCAATGGAAGCAAAACAAGCATGAAGCCAATCCATCCCCAAGATGACATCGAAGTCCAACATATCTAATTCTATCAAATCAACCAACGTGACTTTATGAGACAAAGAGATAGGACATCTCCTATACACTCTTTTAGCTACAACCGAATTACCTATCGGGGTTGACACGGAAAAAGGTTCTTTTAACTATTCGGGTGACACTTCAAATTTCATAGCCACAAAAGGGGTAACAATAGATATAGTGGCACCGGGGTCTAATAATGCATAAACATTAATTGAAAATACTTGCAGCATACCGGTAACAACGTTTGGGCTCCCGTCTTGATCACTTCTAGATTGGAGAGCATTTAAGTGATTCTTCTTGGGAGCATCGGCATTAGAACCACTTGGTGTAGTTTGATTACACTTTCTTCCCTTGTTAGTACGGGTTGGAAAATCTTTCAATTGGTGCCCACTTTTACCACACCCATAGAAAACACCCATACCGGTAAGACATTTCCCTTCATGCTTCTTACCACACACTGCATATGTAGGCTTGTCCATGGAAGATCCACCCCTATTGCCTCCTCGAGGTTTAGGGTTAGACACCCTATCTTTGTTGGTCTTAGGAGCATTGGAGGAACTTTGATTGGAGAACCTCTTTTTAAACCTAGGTCCACTTTGACCTTCAAACTTACCCTTAGAAGAATATCCATCCTCGGGCCTTGCCCTCCTCACCTCTGTACTCTTCTTTCTAATCCTTGATTCCTCAACTTGTTGAGCATGAACCATCAACCTTGAGATATCCATGTTGTCATGAAGCATTGTCACACAACACTCTTCTTCAATAGCATCGTACACACCGATGACAAAATGACTCATTTTATCCCTTTGATTAGCAACCAAAGAGGGGGCATATTCGAACAACTTAGTGAATTTCAAGGAGTATTCTTGGAAACTCATATCTCCTTGGCGAAGGTTGATGAACTCCTCAACTTTGGCTTCTCTCTTTTCATGGGGGAAAAACTTATCTTGGAAAGCCTTTTTGAATATCTCCCAAGTTATGAGACCCGCCCTTATAGGCCTATTGTCCTTCCATTGTGTGTACCGCACTTGGGCCACATCTTTCAATTGATACCCGGCCAACTCAGCCTTCTCAATATAGGTGACCCCTATAGCCTCCACTCTCTTATAGACCTCCTCCAAAAACTCTTGCGGGTCTTCATTCATTTTGCAATTCAAGAAGATAAAAGTGTTCATCCTAGTAAAATCTCTCAATCGTGAGGCCATGGTACTCACATTGAGCTCTGCCCGGGGCCTAACTTCTCAGTTGTCTTGAGCCTCTTGAGTTTGAGCTTGAGTGGTGACGGTTTGAGCTTGAACCGTGATGAGTTGGGTCAAGTTTGAAAAGTTGACCTTATTTCAACATTACTCATGACCCCTTCATCATTGGGAGCTTGAGGGTCTTGAGGAGCTTGAGGGGAACTTCTTCATTGACATTCTCCCCTTGTTCCCTTCTAGCATTAGCCCTTCTTGTATTCATTGCCTATAATCACAAGAAAAGGGTTAGAAGAAAGGACTTCATAGAGTTAGGACTCCAAGCACGACTAAAGAGTAATGAAAGAAGTGGAAGTTTCTAAACATCTTATAGCCTCTCAATCATAAGTGTGGCGTGCTTCACACTCATGAACAAGTCTCTACTAGACCTGGTTCATTAGACATCAACCTAAATATTATTGCCAAAACCTTATGCTCTGATACCAAGTTTATCACGACCCAAGGCAAGCCCCGAGATGTAACACGGCGTACTTGACCTGGACGGCGTCTCATACAAGCCTCTAACATCATCATTACATAAGACATAGAAAATAATGCGAAGAAATTTAAAAAATTTACAATAAAAGTCAACTTCTTCATATATGGAAAAAAGGAACTAGACATTGTCTCAATCACCGTTTAAAAGATACGAATACAAATAGGGTCAAAGCACTTTTACATCAATAAGTCTCCAAAATAGGAAATACAGTATAGTCTAGAACATCATAAGTAAACTAGAGACTAGAATCAATAGCAACTTGTCCTCGAACTTGAGGACTCACCAAGCCGGGGGAATAGTCAACCCAAGTTTCACGTTCAAGGAAGTAGTAAGTATCAACGACCGGAACCTCAGCTCATAGTAAAGTAGAAGGAAGAAGAGGTTAGCACATAATATGTACTATGTATGGAAACACGCATAAAATACTTAAAGCATGATAAAATGGACATTTTATTTGAAAAGAATGCATTTATCAAGTTTGGAAACCAACATACATTTTCAATACCAAAGACAAGTCAAAATCCATTTATAGTCATAACATGGTAATACCCACCCTTTAGCAAACCCTAGAGAACAGTTTTGCAAAGTATGGTTGGCATCCCATAATACCAACCGTACCAAGTACTCCATTGGGACTACCTTAGTCATACACATCACCTTTAGACTTCTCATAATCAATAGTCATCAATAAGGAACTAGTCATGTACATTATTTGAACATAAGGAAAGTCATTCATACCAACTATCTTTTCAACATACATGCATACAGTCAATCTCATCAGAACATAAATGAACCATCCTATAAGATCCTACTAAGTCTACTTGTGCAATGTGGGAGTGAAGTCCCATATCCCCACTCCTACTAAGTAAGCTCACCAACAAGTCATAGTATAGTTCATGTCTCATTCATTATCTTTATTACATAGGGAAAAGTTGCCATAACCGACATAGACCATGTGAGCAACATGGAATCCGGTGTCATGTAACCCTACACCGAAAGAAGTCGTCCTACTTTCCTAAGGTAGAACTAAATATAAAGCTATAAGGTGGATCCACTAGTTAAAGTCCTATGTTGGCACATAGTTATTGGACAGGGAGATTGCTTCTAGAAACCTGACCTATTGCTTTGGCGGAGGAGTTTCCATCTCATGAGTTCACTTAGATGACCCAACCTATTGCATTGGTGGACGGGCCTTTATGTCATTGTCCTCGGTGCTTATCATTACTTCACAAATTATACATAATTAGTCTTAAATTGTATATACATGTGTGAAGGAGTGTTCTAACTTTCATTCAATACAATTCATCATTATAGCTCATAGATTCATTAAAGGTGAGAATGTACTTTCAACCTTAGAATCAACATCAACATGTGAGTAGCACTTTCACATTGCATTCATAGTGCTATCATGAGAAATAGCCTTTCAATCAAACAACAATGTTATCACCATCCTAGACAAGTCATACATATATATGTGTATAGGGTAAGGGGATAATTTACCTTTCCATAATACCTCAATTTACACAATGGTGAAAGATCTCTACCTTTCAAGTGAATTATAAGTTCACAGACAATTCCCATCATTCATGAACAAACCTCCACAATTTACCCTCTTCAATCGTCCTAAACCAAGTCTTACAATCACTCTTAGAAATACTACTTTAGGCTTGAATAAACAAGATTCAATGACTAGGTTAACATACACACAATTTATAATCTTCATCTTGCATCAACAAACCCATCATAATTCATAAAATTGGTGTCATGGGGTAACACATGGGTTCATTGGGATATTTACAATAAAAATCACTATTAAACATCAAATCATCCATAATATAATGCAAATAACATAATAAAATTGTTTTTTAGAAAAACCCACGGCTAGAATAGAAACCCTAGTTTTTGAACATTATACCAATTTTGAAATTAGAGTTTGAAGGGCTTCATGGAGAAATGTATTCCATGAATCAAGGTGCACATACCTTAATTGAAGCTTTGCCCATGATTTGTAGTTGAGAGGACTGATTCTTGAGCCCTAACCTTCAAGTTCTTGGTGTTCTTCAATGGAGGAACTTGTAGAGAGAGAAATATTGGAGAGAAGAGGGATTTGGGAAATATTTGGGTGTTTGAGTTTATGACTTCAAAATAGGTGAATTTGGCTTTAAAACAATATATAAACCACCCCTAAAATACCCAAAACACCACCACATTAATTGGACTAAAATAGTAATTGACCTAAGTGACCCTCACTAAATGACCCCGTCTAGTTGCCACCTTCATGAACTGTGGTGAGGACCACGACTCATGGTCTCTCCCTTGAAGATTGGGACGGTGGCTAGGTTTTGGTGGCACTTTTGCATTTGTGCCTAAGTCACCTCCACGGGACCCTACACGGCACATGATACTACCTGTGGAGTTGAGGCAGTGGTTTTGCCATTTGGGGCCATTTGGCCATTTGCCTAAGGCAATTTCACGAGAGCCTCCCTTGGTCGTGATCAAACCCATGGACCGTTGTGATGGCTGTGAAGTTGAGGCAGTAGCTAGGGAATTTGGTGGCCAATCTTTCATGGCCAAGGAAAGACCACGCCCACCTTCACAAGCCGTGGTGAGGACCACGACTCGTGGTCCTTCTCATAAAGGTTGGGGCAGTAGCTAATGGCTAGGGGTTGCCTTGGCCTTTTGGCCTTGGCTTGGCCCCTTGGCCATGGCACTTGCCTCATGGCCTTGACCCCTATGACTCATACTTAAGACGTTTGTCCTTACGTTTAGGCTCTAGTTCAACCTACCATTTCCCGGAGTGTTACATCTTTATTTGTGTATTATTGTAGACTCTTCCACAAAAAAAAAAAGACGGAGAGGTCAAACAAAGATGTTAAGTGTACATAAAAGGCACGATCGTAAATTGATTGTAGTAAATAAAGCATGGTGAGCCTATTGTCCGTAGTAATGATGTTGTGATAGAGTTAAGCAACTTCCTCGGGACACTTGCAATGAATGATCGTAAATTGATTGTACTAAATAAATCAAGTGCTACTGTTGTTTGCATATTTTTGGAGTATTGAACTAAACTTAAAAGATTAATTGACTGAGAATGTTTTAAATGTACTCAAGATCTGGGTTGATTTTCGGCGTTTTTGATTTTTGTAACAATATGCTTACCTGTTGAATTTCCAAATATATGCACTTTCTGCTTCTTATTGACGTTCTTAGAGTTGAAAGGCTTTTAATTGTTTATGAAAAGGAGGTTCTTTGTTTGGTTAGTATCATTATTGTGGAACATAAACTATGTGAAAGATATTTTCATTATTAAAAAAATTTACAAAGTAACTTTGATTTTCTTTCTGAAAGTTTCATCTAAGGGCCGGGGACAGCCAATTTCTTTTATTAAACTTTTCATGTTGAAAAACATTCGCCCATGTATGAGAGCAATACCCCGTTGTTTTTTTCTTTTTAAAAAAAAATTATGTGGTAAAAATTAGGAGTTGCATGACTTCTTTTCTCTTTTCATTTTTGAACTTCCTCTTTCCTTATTGTTGACCCTTTTGAAATTGTAGGTGAACAAAATGAACAAAGCAGGGATGAAAGCACTGAAGACCTTACTTAAAGAAAATTGGTTAATCTATATCTACAAACATTATAGGACTAATATTACTTTTTGGCCAAATTTTTGTGAACTTAAATGTATGCTAACTCTAGAACATTTTAGGACTATTTTTATGTTTGGGCTTAATTTTTGTGAACATCAATGTATGTTAACTCTTGAATTTTCAATCAATATCATGTAGTTTTATCTTTAATACATAGATGGTACTAGTTGAAGTACATATTGATTTACTATTTTCTATCATTGTATTACAGTTTATTTCAAAAATACATAATATATATATAGTGGCTACAATAGCCTTTAATAAGCATTAAAAGCCAATTGCAATAGCTTAATAACAACGTTGCAATAGTTTAGCAGAATCGTTGTAACAGCTTAGATAGAGCTATATTATAAAGTTATTGTGATAGATCGATTGCAACGGTTTCAAATCGTCGGAATGTTGTAGAAAAAGTTGTCATAGACTAAAGAATAATTGTTGCTATAGAGAGGTGTGTTGCAACGGTTTAAAATTTGTTACATAAAACCTTTACTATTGACATATTGCAACATGCTTATATGATTTCTATTCACATATATAACGTATTGCAACACTCTTCTGGTGTATGGAAATGATTTTTATGGTGTTTCAACAGATCTATTTTCTTGTAGTGGTATTGGTTGTTTTATTATGCTTTGTTTTTATTATATTAGTATCTTTTGTTAGTTTATGTTTTGTAATAATAAACAGTGATGATAGTGTCTTATTCTTGATGCCTTGAAGTAGAGGAAGTATGAGTAACCGTTTATGAGTTTTGAAACCGTTGTGAA